AGTGGCTTTTGTTTGTGTGGGTGATTTTTGAAGTTTATTTTCTGTTATGCTTATTTATTATTTGTGTTAAAACTGAAGCTGATTTTTACTGTGCTTCTGTTAAATATCTTGCAGAGAGTGCCGGATGAATGAGTTTGTGGATGATTTTAAAGAATATTTTTTACGTTTGTTTTTACATTTTTATTGCATATTAGGTTAAACTATATAATGTTTCTTTTTTTTCTTTTGTTTTTTTTTCTCTATTGTGTGGTGTGTATGTGAGTAATCCACTACCTCTTAACGTTGTTTCATAATCTTTTTTTGGCTTCGTTGAAGATGATTTCATTTGAAGAATTTTCAGATTACCTACGGTTAATTGATTGTGAAGTCTTCTGGTTGGTTGATTGGAAAATACGTGTATGCAAAGTGGTTTAGCTATATGGCTGATGTTCCTTTTTTAGGACGTCTAGGAAATTACTACTTTTAGGTGGTTGGGTTTTTTGGCTATTCAATGTTTTGGAATATTTTTGTGGTTATTTTTCTAGTTTGTTTTCTCAGTCATAGTTTCTTAGCATTATGAGACTGTCGTCCTTCTAGAGGCCTATATCTTTTTTTGTTGATTATTTTGCTTAATTCATGTCGAGTATATATGCATGCCTATCAACTCAAACGTTTCGGTTCCTTCAAAGCTTCCCATTGTAACGTTGAACGTTCGTTCTTTCTTTAGCCAGGAAAATTCGTTATCGAATCATACTGATTTTCGGCAGTGCTTGATAGTTTTTAATTTGTACTTCTTTTTATGCGTTGCCGCGCAAAGGAGATTGCTTCATCGAACAGAGTAAAAATATTTTATAACTAATTGTATAAATTTGTGTTTATATTTGTCTGACTTTTAGATGATGGAACCAGTCTGTGGTTGTTTTTGTCTCTTTATATTGGTTTACTTCTAATGTTTTTAGTTCTGAGTTAATTCTTTTTAGCATTATTTTACTTATTTTACCAAGATCAATTTAGATAGGTTTATGATTCTGCAGATTGGATCTGCTTTGAAGTTTTCTTTGTGTTCTTTTAGTGCAATGAATTCTTGTGATTTATTGATGCAATTTATTCGGTCGTTTAGGTCTAATTTTTGGGTGATGGTTTTAGCTTCTAGGTTGATCTGATATCCTGAAGATTTGCTTGCTTTCCTTTATGTTTTTTTATGTCATTCTTAAGTAGTTTCTTGTGAGGTACTTAGTTCATATATATATATATATATATATATATATATATATATGTATGTATGTATTCCACCTACAGGTGGAAACGCCAATGTAAAAAAATAGAAGCGGACAGCAGCTCTCCGGTTGTATAGATAGGCAAGCAACAACACCATTAATATTGATTTGATATATATTGATTGATGGCGGAGTGGTACGCGAATCACCTAGCACAATTCGATAGCGACCCTAGGGTAGACATCCTAGCCGCCAAGATAGATAGATAGATAGATAGATAGATAGATAGATACAGACTGAAATAGACAGCTAAATACGGCGATTGTGAAGAGTTGCGGTCATTAATACTGAATAATAATAATAATAATAATATTGTGGACTTTGTTACTGTAATTAGAATTGAATTTGTACGTAAATTCTCATTGATATTCCTTGTAAAATATCAAGGACACATGACCCAGTGAATAAAGACATGGGTTAGATCTAGTGACTAGACCCAAAATAATTGTGAGTTCAATGCCAGGTCACAGCATTAGTGAACTGGAACTTGGAGAGTTGAGTTAAAGAGAAAATAACTGAGACACCCGGAAGAGGCATGGCACACGGAACTAGAACAATGTAGACGAAATAAAGGGTTCGGTTCGAAATTCTAGTCAACTGAAGACAATCAACTGTATAACGACTGAAACGTTGTGAATATGGCAATGAAGATGAGGATAACAGTCCGAACAATGTAAATAATGTAAGAATTATCTCTGATATACATTGTCTTTTTTTTTCTTTTCTTTTCTAGAGTCGGAGAGAAACGACTCCGCAGTGCAAGTCGAACGCACACGTTTGTCGGACATTAATGCAATACAAAGACAGTACTGCCGAAGACTTCACCGTCGACGAGGGCCTGAACTGTGAGTGCGACAACTGTTCAAGCACGTGGTCCGAACACGACAGGTACTCCTTCACCTGGCAGCATTTCAAGAGGCGTAAGTAGACGCAAATTCATCATGTTTATAAAAACCCCTATCGCAATTTTCCCTATTCATTCTCTAGAAAACAAAAACGCCGAAAAAAAAAATGAAGGTCGGTCTCTTGTACCGCTCTAATAAGTACCTGGCTACTCCTGCTATCCTCTGCATTTACAAGGGCTAGATCAGCAAGGTGCACGGCTGTTAAATATTGACGGGAGCTTCATTTTCCAATCTCGATACTTCAAAAGCGTCCATGTGGCCTTTTTTATTTTTTTAATTATTTATTAATTTTGACCATTAATTGTTTTAGTATCTTTTTAGTGTAACACTCGCCGTCGTCGAAAATATTTCAATCTTCTTTTGGTGAAGTAGAAACCGAACGTTATTTTTCCCTCCTTATCATTTAAATTACGCTTTAACGTAACCCTCTACCTCGAGTGGCCCCCGGGCCTTGTACAGAGTGAACCTTACTGAAAAAAAACATTCAAGGTTAAAGAGAAAACCATTTGTTTATTTTAATATTCAGGAAGTAAAGAGCACAAAAATGGGCGATTAATTATTTTTCACAAAACATAACCCCCTTCCCTACAAACGAAACTTTGCAAACCTTTCTGTTATATAGGAATAAAGTGTAACTACCAACACTGGACTTTGAATACAGATCACCAGAGAGCAAACACAGGCGATCCCATTTTGAATAATTGATGGTAAAGGATATGTATATATGGGAATTAGCGTGGCGTCTAATTGATCATCATTTCTATTCTATTCTCTATTACTATACGGATCGCCCTTTCTACACTATCTTCTATCTCTGTACTATTCACTATACTATTTCTCTATACTGATCACTATACGGATTACTATTCAGATCACTATTCGATGGTTACTTTTCGATCGAGTATTATCGAGCAAGTACTATTAGTGCGAGTGTTATTGGAAGGCGTCTGTCACCAGTATTGCTCAACGGCGTTACTATAATTGTATCTTCACTTTACAAAGTCTCTACTACAACGAGCATTACGAAAGTGACAACGAGTATTCGTTGACATCACAAAACTTTCGCTGCTCTATGGGTATTTCCATGGAAACTGTTCAGGCGATCTACATTCCTTAGTTCCACCACTTCTAACCTTCACGGCTGGCACCCACCAAGCCACTCACATTGTAGCAAACCACCTTCACTCTCTTCGTATTCCACTGGTGAGAATTAAGTTCCACTCGAACAGCTTATCCCCACGAGCTGCTACTTTGTGGCACCGACTCCTAAGAGGGTACGTCTCCAATCCGTTCAATCATAATCTGTTCAAGTCTAGGGTTAACTGTTATCTTCCCTATATATTCTCATAAACTCTGCCTCTTATCTCTTACTCTGTAACCCTCTACCTTGGGTGGCTTTTGCGCCTTGTACATGGTGAACATTATTGAAAAGAAAAGCTCTTAGCTCAAAGTACACTTCCCGGGCTTTGTTTTTGGATCAAAGTGTAGTATCTTTCTTTTATTCTTCTGAAAAATTATGAGGGATAACTAGTTCCTGAGGGTTCAAATCTTGCGGCAGCTCCTTTCTCATTGCACTAAACAAGAACAGTTGGATAAAGAAAAACTTCTTTTTTTTCTTGAAAATAAAAACAGGACTCCGATTTCTCATTGTGAAAGAAATATTTGTTTCTTCTCTTTTCAGTGGACATGATCGTTCAGTACAAACTGTGTGGCCCGATTATGCCTGAACGTATCTGCACACCGGAAGACAAAATTGCTGCCAAAATGGAAACGGAAGTTAACGGATGGCATATACACATGCGCGAGGAAAGATGCCGCTGCAAGGACAATATTTTCTACTTGAACGGCTGGGAAAAACGTAACAATCTTTGGATCTACGATTACGGTTGCACAAAGGTAAGATGGTAATATTGAAATGCATCATTTTTCTACACAAATTATAACAATGATTTAAAATCACTCATCAATAAGGGTATTTTTTTTTTTCAAAATTGCCCCGTGAAAAATGTCATGATACCATTTCTGACCTTAGGTCTCTGGTCGGGACCCGGAAAGAAATGGGTGCACACCAGAAACCATTGGAAATAAAATGATCAATAATAAAAACTGATAGACATCGTGATTAAAGGCTACAAACACAAATGTCTTCTCATAGATATGGTAGTGAAATTAAATAAACTTATTCCTGATACAGATTATGCTAAATTAAGTCATTTCAGTATTTAGTCCTTCAGGTTGATTATGCATGTGTTATCTAGGTGTTATGAATTCAATCCTTGAATCTGGCAGAGAAGTCCTAATTCAACAGGGACGGGCAATAACTGACATCACAAAGACAAAATATCACAATAATCAACAGATATCCCATATCAGCAAATTAATGGACAGCTGATGATGACTAGAGCGTACATGGTCGAAACATTGTGTCTATAATAACATCTATATCAACTAAGATATGAACAATAGTTCGAAATAATACAAGTCAATAATACAAGTAAATACACATATTTTTAAATTAAAATATGACACCTTACAAATACAGTATACCTATAATAAATAGAGCTCATGTTTGGTTGTACTTGTTTAGCATATCAACATTTCTGTGGGTTATTTAATGCTGAAATCTAATTATTTTGTACGCAATTATTTTCTTATATAATAATGGTTTAGTGATACAAGTCTTACTAATTAACCCATAGCTGGGGGAGAAGAGGTAGATTCTTAACTTTGGAAAAAGTATTTGCGCGTAAGTGAATATAACGAACCCAACTGAACTGGAACTCGGCCCTCCGATTAAAAATTCCGAGCAATTGTCTATTACACCACCCGCACATTAAAGCTTACAGCACCTAGTATTCCCAAGCAGTTACCCATCTAAGTACTGAATGGGCTCGAAGTTGCTTAACTTCGTTGATCGTAAGGGACCGGTGTTTCAACACGATGTGGCCGTAAGCTGAAGCCCTAGGGGCGATCAAGAAAAGTGTTGACACGTAAAGTATAGTATATTAACAAGATTCTTAGTAGCCCCAGGTTTTTGAAAATTGCACTGTGTAGAACTTCTCCTCTACACAGGAGAGTATTTATCATCAATGTATAATAATAATAATAATAATAATAATAATAATAATATGTAAAAATATTAATATAAGAGAATAACTGAATGAGCTAACCAGTATCGCCCTCCCCTCTCAACAGGAGTCGATTAAGTTTGTTTTGTTTTGTTTTACGGCATATCTACCTCAATGGAATATTTAATGCCGACAAGAGTTTTATTGCGGGTAATATTTTTTTTTTCAAAAATGTATTGCTGGTAATATTTTACCTTCAAAAATATATTGCTGGTAATCTTTTTCCTTGAAAAATGTATTACTCGTAGTATTTTACTTTCAAAAATTTATTGCTGGTAATATTTTTTCTTCCAAAAATGTATTGCTGGTAATATTTTTTCCTTCAAAAATGTATTGCTGGTAATATTTGCCTTCAAAAATGTATTGCTGGTAATACTTTTTCTTCAAAAATGTATTACTGGTAATATTTTGCCTTCCTAACTGTATTGTTGGTAATATTTTTTCCTTCAAAAATGTATTGCTGGTAATATTTTTTCTTTAAAAATGTATTACTGGTAATATTTTGCCTTCAAAACTGTATTGTTGGTAATATTTTTCCTTGAAAAATGTATTGCTGGTAATATTTTTTCTTTAAAAATGTATTGCTGGTAATATTTTTTCTTTAAAAATGTATTGCTGGTAATAATTTTTCTTTAAAAATGTATTGCTGGTAATATTTTTCCTTCAAAAATGTATTGCTGGTAATAATTCTTCTTTCAAAAATATACTGCTCATAATATTTTTTTTAATGATCTATTACTGGTAGTATTTATTTTCTTCAAAATTTTATTGCTGGTGTTAAAACTTATTTTTACACTTTCATAGTATTTTGACCCCAGTTTGGAGGTTAACTATTTGCTCATAGCTGGGACCCTAACAGGTGCTACCACTCTGGGTCAATGTGGACCTGGGAACTCCAGCAATTAAGATATGGTCCCTGACTCCTCAAAACCTTCCGACCAGAGGACTTGCTGTCGGATGTAGTTTATCGTCTTACTCAGGACGCCTCGATTAAGGAAAATAATTTTCGTGCACAATCGACTGAAAAAGGAAGCATGAAAATGAAGTACTGTATCAATTAACATCGGAATTTGCGCATACATGAAGTATATATTTACTAACTTGACTTTATCCAGGTCTTGGATAAAATGATTTTTTTTCTAATCTTCACCCAATACAAGACCCAAGAGCCACTCAAGATAGAGGGTTACTGTGTGGAGTCGTATTAGCGTAAGAAAGAGCAAGATAACAAGAAAGGTAGACAGCTAATTCAAGACTTGAAGAAGTCAAGATTTAATTAGGGAAGAAATGTTCAGGCAGTGACGTTAGGGGTATAGAGTTGAAGTAGATTTTAGATGGAACCGGAAACCCAATTCTAAACAGGAAACGAGAGATGGATCTTTACTCCTGTTCAATAGACCAGCGAGGAGTGTGAATCGAACGACAGGCGAACCTATTTACTTCTATTGAAGGAGAAAAAAAATGATCATTATAGAATAAAATATCAGGCGCTAACGTTAGAAATATAGAGTTGAAGTAGACTTTAGAAGGAATCAGAAACCCAATTCTAAATAGGAAACAGCTCTTGTTCAAAAGACAGGGGAGGAGAGTGAACCGGACGATAGACAAAGCTACTGAACAGAAAGCAAAAGAAGACTAAATGATGGCTGTCACCTCGTTGTCGAGTATGACTATTACAGGATAGCAGTGTAAGACTTGGTTGTGCTTTAAACGAATATGAAGAAACTGGACACACTTTTAAAATCACTGAATGCCAGCCATTCAGTATGCAAGAAAATAAATAATCTCACGATATCAAGCAATGCCTGTATGTGAATATTTCAAGTGGGGAGGGGCGATGCATTGGGTCAATCCCACTCTCGGATCAAGGACAGCATGTATCTAAAAAGAAGAATCAGTTAACATCATTAAATGCAGCCTCATCTATGCCACATCTGAATTTCGTTCGCTTACAGCAGTAGGTTATTACCCAAGAATAAGATCTGGTTTATTACTAGAAATTGGTTTGTTTTTCACTCGTGGGTAACTGGCCAAGGGTAATTATTTAAGCTACAAACGTTTGACTGGAAGAAGTTGTACTCCTCGGTCAACGAACCTGGTGTCTGGTCTGAGCTACATCGCTATATCTCCTTTCCAACCTAATACATTAAAAATTCAGTTATTTATCTGTCTACTATTATTTTCTTTATACTCTTATTTTAACTCGAATTTTTCGTTTATGATTTATCCATTTTATTCATTATTTGCTTCATTTTTCTTTTTCAGACCATCTGTGCGACAGATACCTCGGTTTGCGCCAAAGTTTACGTCAATCGAGCTGCAGGCGAAGCCTTGAAGTACCAGTTCACCTGCTTATGTCCCGAGAGAAGGCAATGTATCACCGAAGTGGACATTGTGCCGAATATGTATACTGATGATGACGAGAATGGTGAATATGTTGCCCGGATGTGCGACCAGATCATTGGAAAAGGGCGGTAGTTTCGTAAACGATAGTTTCGTACTTTTTTTTTTCGAATGTTAGGAAAAGTCCGTTTTCTTTTTAAGAAATTTTTATATTTAGGTGATTATTATAAAAAAAAACATAACTTTATCTTCGATTTCTTTGTGGACAGTGTAAATGGTCTTGACGTGACTCAGCATAACTGAAGAAATTCATTGATAGAAAAATATCAATTTCCGGTTGACTATTATTATTATTATTATTATTAATGTGTTTGTATCAGTTTTCTTTTATAAAATTTGCTTTAATATTGTTTCACTAGGATTATCATAATTTTGCGAATTATAAATAAATCATACAATTTAATTTGTAATGATGTTTGTAGTTTATTCTAAAACAAAACGTTCCCAGCATTCCGTCAAACGCTTAGTAATAAAACAGATAAGAGTAAATAAATAATAAACAATTTAAAAATTATAATGATGGAGAAATCAATGTTTCGATAGTCACCATATTATTATTACTCAATATCCTTTTAAAATCTGTTTTATTATTATTATCATTATTATTATTATTATTATTACTTGTTAATATATACAGGTTGTTCCCCGAAAATGTGTACATACATTGAATGATTATAAAGTGTCTGTTAAAGTTTCATTTCATTTGCAAAATTTACTAAAATTCTATTAAATACACAATCATTCATTTTGTTTCTGCTATTGGCTGTTTTAAAACTGTTTTGGTCCATTTATTACTGATAACACGAAGCACTGGAATCTCAAATACTTGTGTGTATTCCCGTTCAATGGCGGCTGACTTTTTCTGGTTTTGTACTGTAAGCCATATCTTTTAAGTATCTCCATAAAAAAAAATATACGGTCGCTATACGTATGTCTATATGGGCGCTGTAAGTATGTCTATACGTGCACTGTAGGTATAGCTACACGGTCGCTGTAGCTAAGTCTATATGGGTGCTATAGGCATGTCTATAGAGGCGCTGTAACTATAGCTATAGGGACGCTGTAGGTATGTCTATAGGGGCGCTGTAGATATGTCAATAAGGGTTCTGTAGGCATGTATATATGGGCACTGTAGGTATGTTTATAAGGTTCCTGTAGGTATGTCTATAGTGGCACTGTAGGTATGTCTATAGGGGCGCTGTATGTATGTATATACGGGCGCTGTATGTATGTTTTAGGGGCGCTGTAGGTATATCTATAAGGTCCCTGTAGATATGTCTATATGAGCGCTGTATGTATGTCTATATAGGGCGCTGTAGGTATTTCTATAAGGGCGCTGTAGGTATGTCTATAAGGGCGTTGTAGGCATATATATACATACATATATATATATATATATATATATATATATATATATATATATATATATATATATATATATATATACAGGCGTCTGACTGTGTAGTAATTGAACACAATCTAATTTCGTGAAACGATATTACTAAGTAGTATGTAAGATTTTCTCCGGGTGCCCTATTAATTGTGGCCTTGTAGCAAACTACGCTATTCTTAGTATATGTGCGCCTTGCCACAAGGCAATTGGTATCGTGCTTCTCCACCAGTTGTTAACATCTAGGGAGTATGAGCCGCATTGTATGCCCCACAAATATAGCCCTATATCTCGGAATGGGCTATACTAAGTATTAGCAATAAGGATTTTAGTCGAAGTCACGTTTTGCTAGTCTTTAAAATATATTCAAAGACAATACAATAAACATTTCGTGAAGCGAATTTTAAAAAAAGAAGAAATCTACTTTTAAAATGAAGACTAAATTATTTCTAAGACATAAACAAAAAGATGGCGGTTGTTTAAATGTCAGTTAAGAAAACTGGGAATAAATTTTCTTTATACAGATTCCATATATAACATCCAAATCGAAAATAGAACTATATATATATATATATATATATATATATATATATATATATATATATATATTAAGACATTTTATGTTTATATATATAAACATTATTTTAGTAGGTACACGCGTTCGAATACACATCACCTTTTTTTACAAATTGTAAAATTAATCGAAAGACGCCAATTTCACTGTTTAAATAAAACAGAGATGTCTACTCAAATACGTATGCCCACTAAAATAACGGTTATTGCACTAAGAAATAATGTCGAATTAAAAATAATTAATTGCTTAACTCTTATATATAAAGAAAGGAATGAATTTTTTATTTATTAATCCAACAGCTTTTATTACTGAAACGTTATTTTAGTGGATACTCGTATTTGAGTTTATTTATTAAAGAGTATAGTTATTTATTTCGTCTGCAGGTCTGAATATTCGAGAAATTTTGCTAGAGAAAAGTATAAGATTTCTCAAATATTAAGACTAGTAGACGAAATAA